TGACGTCCGTGACCGAGGACTATTGAGATTGGCATGGGAGTCCTCGTGTAATTTAAATCTATGTTTAGATTTTTAAAATCTAAATCTACAATTTTATTTCACAATGAAATGGAAATAAAAGGAATCACTCTCTAGTTAGTATGATATGCCAGGGACATCAAGATATTGGGAAACATGGGATAATTTATGCATATCGGGATTCGCCCAATTATCCCAAGTATGCCCTGTCATACCATACTAACTAGACAGTGATTCCTTGACAATACAGCTACTATGCTTATTTGAAATATCCTACGTATGGTACATACCCCGGAAGTTTTGTACATGCATAATCTAATATTTCCATTTCTAATTTTTTTCTCTGTGATAACTCTTTGAAAGTTAGCGGAGTTAATTTTTTGATAATTCTACCGGAATGTAAATTGGCAAGTCGATAGGTCAGGGGCAAAGGAGGTCTTATATGCATGAAAATCATGTGCGGCTGCCTTTGACATCCTTGGGCGATGACTGGCATGGGAGTCAATTTAAATATATCTCTACATTTTTTAAGTCTAAATCTACAATTTTATTTTACAATGAAATAGAAATGTACCTTAATGTTTCCATTCATAATTTTTTCTCTGTGATAACTGCTTGAAAGTTAGCGGAGTTGCTTCTTGATAATTCTGCCGGAATGTTAATTAGGCAAGTGGATAGGTCAGATACTATGGTCGCCTAATATGCATGCAAAACTCGTGCGCATCTGTCTCTGTGTCTGACGCTAAGGAGGCCAAATATGAATTTCCAGGAGGGGTGGGGGTTCCAACCCAAGAATTTCTTGACAGGCAAAAACAAAAACAAAAAACTAAACTCGCCCAAACGTTTAAAACCTATTTCGTGGGTGTGTGTGTGTGTGTGTGTGTGTGTGTGTGAGGGTGTGTGTGTGTGTGTGGAGGGGGAGGGGCGGGGGGAGGAGTCGATGACTTCTAATGCTTCAAACCTGTGACTTTTTAAAATACCAATTTAACCCAAATTTGCGTTTACCAGAGGGGGGTAACTTTTTTCTTGCTTTAGTTTATTGAGTATATCAATTTAATAGCTTTGCAAATTTCATCCGCGCATGTGCATTTGTTCTTTAGAACTTTAAAAATGTTAAGGGTGAACACTTCGTAGTTTGGTTCAGTGTATAATTTGTCAGTCGACTGCCAGTGTTATAATAATAACAATTTTAATAAAAAATGAATAAAGATGCCCATCCTTGACCATTAGAGATCGGTTTCCTCTGATAAATTTAACGATCAGTCAATGAGAGTTGAATTCTTTATTGCACACACATATTAACAAATGAAATGTACAGTAGTAATATTAATCGGAATATTACATGTAAAGCTGTTTCCGTGTTTTGATTGAACGATGTTATGATGTTCTACCCGAGAAGTCTGTACTAGTTAGCCCACTGCAGAAACACAGAAAAGAAAAACAGTGTGTGCCTAGTCTGACCGGAATTCAGAGAAAATCACGTAAGTATAATCATTCATAATTTAGACTTTATGTATATGTACCGTAACTGGTTCTTTTTCAATAGTTTAGGTTTGACCATAACCGTGTATGCAACGTTAACTATTCTGTATATGCGCCGTAACTAGTTTTGTTTTATTTTAAATTTGAATAATGTGAACGTGCTACTTAAATTAGAAATAAGCTAGAGTATGCATGGAAAAATTGTTTAAAAATTAAAATAACCAGCAGCTAAATTAAATTCTTATATAATATTGATGACATTTCAGAGATATATTCATTATAAAGTCTTTTAAAGGATATCCCTAATTGGTCAATGTCATTACCTTGTCAGCAATAACAATCATTGAGTCAAATACTGATTGATGTTTTTCATACTAATTGTTAGTCCATTATATATACAGTGAATTGACAACGGAGTTTTCCCGTTATTTTCCGATCATGACAAGGAGCACACGACGTGTGTGACCGGTCGGCAGGGGATGTTCACTCATCCATGACATCTGATCCCACCTCTGATGTTTCGGGGGTCTGTGTTTGCTCTGCTCCTATTTTGTATTGTTTTTTTTTTTTTTGGGGGGGGGGGGGGTATTGTTTTATGGACGTTTGATCCTAAACACTGTCCGTGTTCTCCATATGTTTCTTTCCAATAGACAAGGGGTTGTTTACTTTTTACAAAACTTTTTTTTAAATCACTTTAATTAAATCCCTTATGTTTCTTCTTCATTAATTTAAGCCTTAATTATTTAAATCGGAAGTTTATATAAAAATCATTTATGATCAAATAAAATATCTTAAGTTTGATATGCAGGTATAAAAAAAAAATGGAACGTGAGGTGCAATTTGAGAATCTGATTATATAAGCATTGTTTTTAGCACTTCAATCATTTTTAGTTCCTTTTCTCAGTCTGAAATAGTCTTTCTTTTTCATTAGATATTCAGTAATCCTGTATATTATGCCACAAATAGTGACGTTCGGTTAATATTTTGCACAGTAATTAATACAGAAACCATACTGTAAACACCTGAACATTCATTATATGAACATTACCTTGAGTCAAAGTCCCGAGGCTGTCTGATCTCATACAGGGTCTGGTATTAAGATATTAACATGGAGTGGTAGATTTTTACACAGTGGACGTGTTTGTTAATTAATTTGTTTATTTTCATTGTAATTTGCAATTCTAACAGTATAATTTTCGATTTGAAAATTATGCATTCATTATATCTTAATTGACAAATTTTTTATAAAAAAATTTCAACCCCATGGTAAACTGCTACATTATGTATTCATTCATAAGCATTGGACCCGAAAGGGGCGGGGGAAGGGGTAGCCCTCTTTTTTGCAAAGACAGATATAATATATAGGCATTGAAAATTGAAACTTTTTGTTGGTGTAGCTCCCCCCCCCCCAAAAAAAAATCACACCATGAATAACTGCTACATTGTGTATTCATTTATATGCATTGGATCCGGGAGGGACGGGGGAGGGGGTAGCCCTCGTATTTGCCGATATAATAAAGGCATTGAAAATTGAAACGTTTTTTGGTGTAGCTCCCCCCCCCCCCAAAAAAAGATCAGTATAAGCCCCTCCCCGACACGCTTTCAATTTGCTTCTGAAAACTATTTCATTGTTAATTGTTAACGTTTTTTTTTAAACAGAAAAACAACTTATTCACCTTCAACATAAGACATGTGGACCTCCTCCCATTTTAAAAGACTTGGCTTGGACAGAACTTTCCTTGCCATTGGCTGCTTCCTTCTCATTTTGACCACTGCTCATGCGCAGACTGGATCCGAATTGCCTGGGATAGGCGCTCTGGGAGTCGTAGGAATTTCCAGTAAATATCCTAAATACAGTTGAACTTCGGTATCTCGAACACTGATTTGTTGAATACCATGGATATATCGAAATGATCGGGGGGGGGGGGGGGGGTCCCAATCGTTTTTTTCTTATAAGTATTTTACCTTGAATATTTCGAATTCTTGGATATCTCGAAGTTTTTTTTTCACAGACCCATTGGGTTTGAGATAACTAGGATTGACTGTAATTACGTTTTAATATGCATGCTACTTAAAGATTGACTTAACGGCCAGGGCTTTCTTTCCTGAATAATAATATTCGTCTAAGAACAGATGATACAAACAAAAAATGTATGCCTGTATTGGTGTATATTTTTTGACCTAATATCATTGCAAATGCTGCAAATAATAAATTTCTAGAATATTAAGAAATTGTAAACCCTCTGTGACGTTCAAAGTTCTACCCTTCTGAAACCATCCTTATTATTCTATATTAATATTTTTTACTTCAAATTCCATTTTTGTGCAACTTTGAACAAAAAAAAATAATAATAATAAAAATACGCGATGAAACCTATTCATTTTATTCATTAAAACACGGCCCAAGTTGTTATCATAAAAAAAAATTGTTTGTATCAGCTGTCCTTAAACTAAAGTTTCTGTTATATGATTGTATTTCAAACCTAATCTGTTTCTATCTTAATATTTGAATAGCTGACGATGAGCTTACCATTTACATTTTGAATCACTTTCTAATGTGTATTTACTTTTAAAAAATCCTAACTGAACAAAAATGAAAGTCGACTTTTTAGCTAAAGACCTATAACTCTTACTATATTTACCTTTTATGAATACATAAAATATGTTTGCATATAATACATTTTATTTAAATAAAAAAGATAAAGTATCAACACGCAGTCCGAAATGCATGCATTTTCAAAATTCAAAATAAATTAATCAAAAAAATATATAAAGAGAGAATAGAAAAGAATAACGAAAGAAAAATCAACAACAACCAAAAACCGCTTTGTATTATCTAGATTTATTTTTCTTGGCCAAAAAAAGGCGAAAATTCCTGAAACTCTAATTCGGAAACCCTTAAGTGACACTTAGTTGTACGATTTTATGTTGTGGCTAGTTTGTCACTTCACGTCTTCCTTACTCTTTAGTTTTGAATTGTTAACATGTAAATTTTTCGAATTTATATTAGTTTACATACGTTTTGAAAACAATTGTTTTACAGTGGTTTGAAACATAAAAAAGACAATCACGTGGTTTTTTTTACGAGTTGATGGCATCAACTCAAGTTATGTGTTTGCTAAGGGATTCCCCATGTATCGGAACTAATCACATTTTCGTTTGAGTATTTTGCGTACAGATTCCTGTATTATATTAGTTTATTCACAATTTTCATGATCTACAGAACAAGAAAATGTTTCCTGATATGCTTTGAAGTGTTTATAAACTTAAAATATCTATTATTAATTTTATTGGAATTTGTGTCAATCCGCGAGAGAAAATAGTGTGAGAGACATTCGTTAATAAAAAGTGATACGGCATATAATCAGTGTTTTTGTTTACTTGTACAAAATATTCAATCGATGTTTTCTTTTAAACATATTATTTTGAAAACAATTTTTTAACGGAAATTGACAAAGTGATCATGGTAAATAAATAGTTAGGGGCTTATGATATTGACGTACTTGTGGTATAATTAAAGAAACAAATTCTTGCGCTCTCATGCTACACGCTTGCTCTCTGTAGATGAGGCCTCGACGGGGAGTTTTATCCCTTGCTAATGAGCAGAGCAGTTTTTCCCGCGGTAGCGGTGAATCGTTCCACATTGAGAACAACGCATTGAAAAATAGGTCACTTTATCTAACCGGTGTTTTGGGATTATATTGAAAATAAATCGGTATAATTGGTAATCATATGATTTAACTTTTGCACAGACACTGCAGTTATATTTTCTTCGGAATGTTTTGATTTTTTAAAAAAAAATCTGAAAAACTATCATATCTACATATATCCTTACGCGACATGCTTTCTGTGTTTGTAAACAACGCAAGTTTGCTGGAAAGAATCGAAGGTTGAGGAATCTAAAACAGAAGAAGTTAAACCGACTGAAAAGGTAATTTTGGAATGAAACAGTTTATTTTCTCTTGCAAGCAATAATATATATCGATTGAAATCTAATTATTTTACGACAGACAAGTTATTTATTCATCAATAGCTTTAGAAACGCCAGTGGCATGTGAGATGAGCGTGTTTACATTTCATGAATTAGATGCATCATGTTACTGGAACGTTTCATTAATACTCCTGTCTAAGGATAATGTTTTTGTAGATTCACCAATTAAGAGCTCTGAAAGCAGAACGTATGTAATGTGTCAGGTATAATTTAATGATAGCTACACGTGAATATGTGTATGGGTACGTGAAACTAAATTTTATCATCAGTGCACCATTTTGTATGGCAAGCCCTTTTGCTATTTATTCGGAAAATAAATTTTATCTTAAAATTACAGAGATATCTCTCATTTTAGAGAGATATCTCTTAAAAAATAGAGATATCTCTCAACTTAAAGAGATATCTCTTATTTTTAAGAGATATCTCTATAAGAAAGAGATATCTCTTAAAGTTAGAGAGATATCTCTTATACTTAGAGAGATATCTCTTTTTCTTTGAGAGATATCTCTTTCGTGAAAAGAGATATCTCTGAACGTTAAAGAGATATCTCTGAACGTTAAAGAGATATCTCTTTCACCTAGAGAGATATCTCTTTCACCTAGAGAGATATCTCTCCAACTAATAGAGATATCTCTTAAAGTAAAAGAGATATCTCTTAAAGTAAAAGAGATATCTCTTAAAGTAAAAGAGATATCTCTCTAAGTTTATCTTAAGAGATATCTTTTATAGTGAAAGAGATATCTTTCAAAAGGGTCTAAAAGAGATATCTCTCAGGCAAAAAGAGATATCTCTTTATTGCGAATCGATATCTCTCTTCATTGTTTTTATTTAAAGTTCATTTAAAATGACTTCTCCCTTTACCGGAAGTAAGCTTTTTAATTGTGTAATTTCTCCGAATCAACTATGTACGAGTTAACTTTTTGTTTTGTTTATTTCTAGAGTTATTTCCCGTAGTTTGGCAAGCGCCATATTTACACATGTGCAAAATTTGTTTCTAGATTTTGTGACTTTGTAGCCCTATAGTGTAAGTACACTTTCATTTGATATGATATTAAGATCTAAGAATTCATGTGTTAAAATGCAAACCTTGTAATGTCAAATGTTTCAGCATTTTCAAGTATTATTTTTGCATTGTTAACATGACCTGTTTTGTTTTTTGTGTAAGGCTAAACATGTGGTTTGTGTTCAAATCATTTTCTGAGATTTATACTATCTAGTCACTGTATGTTAAACTTGAGTATGTAAATATATAAGGATAATTTGTTGATTTCTTGCCGAACTATAACTTATTACTGCTTTCTTGTGTTTAGTAGTAGATTGCTGTTAAAAGTAAAAAAGTATGGAAACTCGGTTCAGTCATAAATGTTACTTAATATATTCTACATTTTATGTCAGTCATTTTGTATGTAATTTCTAATAACTTTTTATGTAATTTACAGTCTTTTACTGCACCAATACTGAATAAAGAAGATGAAGCCTTCTCAACAACTGTTCCAGTATAAAATTGATAATATTCACTTCCGGGAACCTCACACATGGAGTTGTGTATTGAGTTCAGCATGTTTCTGGTTTACAAAAAGCTTTTTGGGAAAGTTAGATAGTTTTACAAAGCGGAAGGGTTTTCCGACTTACGATGGATGAATTTCATGTCATAACAGCTTGGGTGCGAGCGTCCACTAGCAAAATTTTGATTGAAGCACAGGTAAACAAATCAGAGAGTGTCATCCATACATGTTAACTCTCCCGATTTAGGCGGGAGTCTACCGCTTTTTCACTCCATCTCCCGCCTACCGATTTAATGCAGAAATCTACCGCTTTTCTACAAAAGCTGCGTCTAAAGTATTTTTGGTTCGCTTGGGTATCCATTTTTGAAGCCACTCTCATAAAATCTTGCTAGATATCGCGTGATTTGACTCGGAATCATACAAACGCTTTTTTTGTACTTAGATTTCAAGCACGGATTTGACAACGACAACAACACAAGACTACCAGTGATTACCTTGGTTACGATAAATTAATCAACATCCCTGCCATGAAAAATGAGATACAGCTTTTAAGAATTAGATGAAAACATTTGACATCGTCTTTAAAAGCACAGAAGCTCACAACTTTATCAATAAAGTCAATAGAAATCACTCGATTGACCAAGCCATGTGGCACATCTCTACTTTCGTTTTCGATCATCGCGGGAAATCTGATTTATATAACGAAAGATAGGAACTTGTTTTAGATCTAGATTAAACCATTTTATCATTTGTTTTGTTTAAAAACTGAATGAATATTTTGAATTATTGCTTCTAGGCTATATCAGCAAAGATCACTCTTCACAAGGCTAAGTAAAGCAGCCAATCCAAGCAAAATGATGAGCATGAAAAATATTTGAATTTTCAATTTATGTCAAACTTAAGGTGTTTCTGTCTTCTTCTTTGCTGTTGATATTTAAGATTAATTAGTGTAGGTACCTGATTTCATTTAAGGCTTATAATATACATGTACATTACATGAAAGATATCGATAATCCAAGCGTTAAACAACACGCGCGCAATGCTACCGCTTTTGAGGTCTGAATCTCCCTCTTTTTCATCACAATAGGTTAACATGTATGGTGTCATCTGTTTCTTGTTTATTTTGACTTGAGGGAAAATGAAGTGTTTTATTCTCAACCAAATGAAATGGTTTCATAATCATCTTTTGCCTTAATTTGTTAACAGATGTTTCATGAATCCGAGGACGATAATGTAATAATAAGCTGATTATAGAGGAGGAGTTTTGTCAGTGTCCAATGGGTACCGTACTAACATCATATTGTTGCTGCATCACTTTTGTTTGGGTAAATATTTTTTTTTAATTTTGTTTTTCTTTTCAGTAAAGTTTTACTTGTCTTCTTTCTGTGGATTAACTTTTTGTGCTTTAAATGTTTGTAGCAATTTAGATCTATTTCACAAGGGTATTGATGTTCATGTATATTTTGCCATCTCTCTGCATCTAACAAAATTCAGATCACTACTATAACATGACCATATTTCTCACTTTTAAGAGAGTATGTTCCATACTTGCCAACCTCCAGCGTGTAAAAATCTGGTCATGACCAGATTTGGAAAGTAAAAAATCTGGTCATAACGCGTAACGACATTCACGACATATTTACCATGATTAAATTCTATACATATATACAAAGTGTTTGTGTATTGAGAATTCTTTTATTGAAAAAGGATTTAATTTACTATGGCAAAAAATTCATACATAATTTGATTTAATTTACATGTTAAAAATGAGAATTGAAGGTTTCATTTTTTAGTATTGACCTGAATTAAGTGTGCATTTTTTTTAAAAAAAAAAAAGGCCTTTTCAGTTTCTGCTAAATTTGAAACTGAAAGTATACCAATTTCAGTTTTAAAGTTATTTTTCCTCTCTATTGATTAATTAACTACTGCAATATGTTTTAAATGTGAAGTTAGGCCTACATTGTCTTTGATCATTTTATTTTATCTAGAATGAAAGTTTTTTTTCCAAGATTCCTTATATGTACATAAATATCGTTTCTCTTTTTCTTGGTTCAATCAGAGACATGTGTTTGGTTCAGTTTGTTCCTGTTGGCCCTGATAACGATCTAGTTCTATCTGAAGCCATTTTAATTGACTTCAAACATTGATTTGTCAAAACAACACCCAGTTAATTGTTTACACAGGTCTGCACTGATAATTAATCCATTGGCATTGTTTACGTAGATCTAAGCTTGGGTTGTAACTGGAAGTTAAAAGTGCAACCTAATTTACGAACCAAATCCGGAAATTGAGAGATTTTCGTGTTGTTCGGCAAACATCGGGTGATAAGCATGAACCGCCGGGTCATAAAAAATAATCGGGTTACGGGTTGAAAAATCGGGTGTGACCCGACGAAATCGGGTGAGTTGGCAACTATGGTATGTTCCCTGCTACTAGAAAGTGGCTTTGTGTTTGTTCAATTTTTGGTCTGTTCAAATTTGCCCGCATGGCCCAGTGGTTAGAGCATCTGCTCTAGAGTCGCCAAGTAAGGAGTTGAACCTTGCGTCGTGGGTTTGAATCTCACTTTGGGATGTGGAGACCTATCCTTGGGATGATACAGTATAAACTGTGGCCCTGTGTCACAGTAGGTGTTAGCAGGAAAAAGATCCATGCCTGCTAAATGGCGCTGAGTAAAATTTGCAGCTCTCCACCAGCAAGTGGTGGCGTCTCCATATGAGTGAAAAATTCTTGAGAAGGATGCTAAACAGTATACAAACAATCAATCTGCCTGTTCAACATGTGAATCAGTATATTCATTGATATTACACAACTGTATACATTAAAACTTATTTTATAGCAGAGGTACAAGAGAACCATTAACACAGATGAAAGCTGCAGTTGCTAAGAGATCCACCTAAGACTTAACCGACTTTGAATTATCAGCATCCAAAACAATGCAAATCAAATAAGGTATGATATTGATGCAACAAAGTAGGACAAATATAGAATTTATTTTTTGTAAGACATAGCATATAAAAAAAATGACAAAAAGTTCTGTCTGATGTCCAGGGATGCTTTACCCTCACCCCACCTTAAGGATTTAGACATTGACCCATAATTCAACTAGACTGTCTTCTCACCTCACTATTAAAATGGGGTACCCTTGTTTACAGATTAAATGTTTAATAATTATACATACATGTATGGATTTTTTTTTTTTTTTTACAAAATGACTAATATACTAGTCAACATTGGCCATCTTTAAAAATATATTTGTTTGATGTACTCCTATCCACTTTTATCAAGGTTGGAAGTTAGGCACCAGTAGTTTTGTTTGTTTGTTTTGTTTTTTTTTTGGCTTTACAGTATAGAATAAATTGATAACTGTCATACAAAGCCTCATAAACCTGTTGATGTTTTCATTACTAGCTAGAAAGACTTTATATTTATAAATTG